TTGTTCATGTAAACCCAATGCAAAGAGTTTATCCTTAATCTGGTGCAGCTGATGTGCAACTCCACGGATGCTCAAACGTCTTCCAAGCACTTCATGCGAACAAGCAACTCCAATATCATACACCATAACCAAACATTCTTGAAATATGTCATTGCTTTCCGAAAGTCAATGCTGAGGACTATGGGGGCCAAAATGGCTATCTCTTTCTTGAAGCAGAACGATGTCCGTAATTTCAAGCACTTTGTTCGGGCAAAGTTTTTGTGACTAAACTATGAAGAGTCAAATTGTCTCTAAATGTGTCATCGGTGGGACTCAACCCGGTAAACATCTCCAGTAAAAGAATGCTGTAACTATAGACGTAGCATTCCCTTGAAACCTCACATCCCATTGCATATTCTGCCACATGATCATCTCATAGTGCTGGTCAATTTGGGGTGTGGATCATCAAACTGGTGTGTAATGTGCATAAGACTGTAAGAGCTATCGTTAGCAACCAAACTTCAACACGAAGACCCATCAATAGCTTTCCGGTAAATAAACTTTCTTGGCTTTTTTTTTGTCATAAAACTTTATTGGTTTAGAGAGAGAGATTACCTGGTAGTGTTAAGGTTGATGTTTTGTATTCTGTCATAGAAGGATTTATATGGAAAAGCTAAATATTTTAGGCTATGTGAGCAATTTTGTAATTTGTGCCATGTAGGGTTTCACTATATATGTTTAGGGCGAAATAGGTCTCTAGAAAGAGAGGGAGTGAGTGAGAAAGAGCGGCTGCACACTTTTCTACGTTATTAGTGAAACAGATCTCATCTCCCCGTGGACGTAGGTAGGCGGAACATCTCCCCTACTGAACCACGTAAATTCTTGTGTTGTGCAAATTTCAATTACTTTCTTGCATCGTTGATAGGATCGAATTTAGATATTCGACAATTGGTATCAGAGCTTGGTTCGGCAAGCTATCAAGATGGCAGGAAAGGGTTCGAGTGTCAAGTACGACATCAAGAGGTTTAATGGAAAGAACAACTTCACTCTCTGGCGACGAAGAATGATGGATCTTCTGATTCAGCAGGGCCTGTCGAAAGTGCTGCTGGGGAAAGGAAAGAAACTAGAAACGAGTGATGAAGATTAGGCAGAGATGGAGGAAAGGGCGGTAAGCGCCATTCGATTGAACCTATCTGATGAGGTTGTGCAGTATGTGGTAGATCTCAAGTCGGCTCCGCAGGTGTGGTCGAAACTTGAGAGCATCTATATGACCAAGTCCCTAACAAACAAACTGTGTTTGAAAAAACAGTTATACTCTCTACAGATGGAGGAAGGCTCAGATCTGTTAGAACACATCAACATGTTCAATCAGATTCTGAGTAAACTTGCAAGTCTGGAGGTTTCAATGGAAGATGAAGATAAAGCCCTATTACTGCTATCATCGCTACCAACATCTTATGATCATCTAGTGACGACACTCTTGTCTGGAAAGGAGACGCTTGAGACAGATGATGTCACCGCTGCCCTATTATCTAATGATACAAGAAAGAGGGTTAACAGTGCTACGGCACAGGGTGAGGGTCTCATCGAAAAAGTCAAGGAGCAAGAACGGGGAAGAACAATTCAGCGGGGATCCGGGAATAAGGGTCGATCGAAATCAAGAAGGGGTAAAACAAAACTCTCTTGTTATTATTGCAAGAAGGAAGGCCATTTGAAAAGAGACTGTTATAAAAGAAAGGAAGACTTGAAGAAGCGCGAGAAAACTTCTAATCAAGCAAGTGTGGCTGATAGCTCAGACAGTGATGATGGAGATCTTCTCTCTATATCATCAGGTAAAAATCAGTTCGCTGATTCATGGATTTTAGACTCTGGATGCTCTTATCACATGTGCCCGAATAGGGATTGGTTTGATTCATACCGGTCATACAGTGGCGGATCTATTCTAATGGAGAATGATGCGGTTTGCAAAACCATTGGAATAGGGACTATTAAAATCAGAATGTTTGATGATATAGTCAGAACTTTAGTGGATGTAAGGCATGTTCCAGATCTAAAGAAAAATTTGATATCTTTGGGTGCGCTTGATGTGAATGGCTGCAAGTACGCAGCAGCAGGTGGAGTTCTCAAAGTCATCAAGGGAGCTATGGTTGTCATGAAAGGAGAGTTGACTGGAAGTTTATACAGGCTCATAGGGAGTATAGTAATAGGTGGAGTATCTGTGACTACAGCTGCAGAGTCCGATACAGATGACACTCATCTGTGGCATATGCGATTAGGGCATATGGGTGAAAGGGGTATGATGGAGCTTCATAAAAGGAAGCTGTTAAAAGGTGTCAAAAGCTGCAAATTGAACTTCTGCAAATACTGCGTTTTCGGGAAACAGAACAGGGTTAGTTTCAGAACTGCGAAGCATACGAGCAAGGATGTACTTGATTATGTACACAGCGATGTATGGGGTCCTGCACCGATCAAATCAAAAGGTGGAGCCGAATATTTTGTGACCTTCATTGATGATTACTCAAGGAAAGTCTGGGTCTACTTCATGAAGCAGAAAAACGAAGTCTTCTCCAAATTCAAAGAGTGGAAGGCTGAAGTAGAAAGGTAGACAGGAAAGAAGCTAAAGTGCTTGAGAACAGACAATGGAGGGGAATACAGGTACACACCATTCCTGGAACTATGTAAAGCTGAAGGGATCACACGTCACTTCACAACATCAGATACACCACAGCAAAACGGTGTAGCTGAGAGGATGAACAGGACACTTTTGGAAAGGGCTCGGAGTATGAGGCTGAATGCAGGGCTGAGTAAAAGTTTCTGGGCAGAAGCAGTTAATATGGCATGCTATCTCATTAACAGGTCTCCATCTACAGCCATTGAATGCAGAGTTCCTGAGGAGGTATGGATAGGTAATCCGATTGACTATTCTGGTTTGAGAGTATTTGGTTGTCCAGCCTATGTTCATGTACAAAGTGGACATCATTCCAAGTTAGACTCAAAGTCTAAGCAGTGCATCTTTCTTGGCTATGAGAAAGGTGTGAAAGGATTCAAGTTATGGGATCCAAATGCACGGAAGACCGTGGTTAGCAGGGACGTTGTCTTTAATGAATCTGACATGGTGAAGGCAAATAACAGTTCACATGCAAATGGCAGAAGTGAAGAAAGATCTACTGTGCAGGTGGAGTCAGGTGAACCAGAAATAGCGGGAGGAAGGGAATCATCCAGTAACTCACCAGAATCACAGGAGACAGTAGAAGATACATACACCATCGCAGAAGGTAGAGGAAAACGTACTCACGAAGCACCTGTGAGATACGGGTTTGAGGATATGATTGCTTATGCCCTCACAGTAGGTACAGGCAATCCATCTTCCTATCAGGATGCGATATCTGATGCTGATAGTGATAAATGGATGTCAGCTATGATGGAAGAAATGGAATCCTTACAGAAAAACAGGACTTGGAAGATTGTGGAGAAACCTAAAGGGCGAAAGATCATTGGGAGTAAATGGATCTTTCGCAAGAAAGAGGCAGTGTCTGAGAATGAGCAGGTAAGGTACAAGGCTAGACTTGTAGCTAAAGGGTATGCACAAAAGGAAGGAGTGGATTATAATGAAATATTCTCTCCAGTAGTAAAGCACACTTCCATTCGGGTTCTACTTGCCTTGGTAGCCATGTTTGATTTTGAGTTGGAGCAACTTGATGTGAAGACGGCGTTTCTTCATGGAGACTTGGAGGAACAGATTTTCATGAAGCAACCTGACGGGTTCAAAGTGCCAGGAAAGGAAGATCACGTTTGTCTACTTAAGAAATCACTTTATGACCTTAAGCAATCTCCAAGACAGTGGTATAAGCGTTTTGACTCTTTTATGGTGCAAATTGGCTATTCGAGAAGTGAGTATGATTGCTGTGTTTATTTTAAAGTGTCAGATGATAATTCGATTATTCTTTTGATGCTTTATGTTGATGACATGCTCATTGCTGCTAAGGATATGCATAATATTGTCTCTTTAAAGTCCTTGTTGAATAATGAGTTTGAGATGAAGGATCTTGGTGCTGCTAAGAGGATCCTAGGTATGGAAATTCATAGAGATAGAAGTGCAGGTAAACTTTGGGTATCTCAAAAGAGGTATGTTGAAAAGGTGCTTGAGCGTTTCAACATGAATAAGGCTAAACCAGTAAGGACACCATTAGCTAGCCAATTCAGGTTATTTGAACAGCAATGCCCCACAAAACATAAGGAGATTGAGGAGATGTCTCGAGTTCCCTATGCTAGCGCAGTTGGGAGTCTCATGTATGTTATGGTGTGTAGCAGGCCAGATTTATCTCATGCAGTCAGTGTTGTTAGTAGATACATGAGTAATCCAGGGAAGGAGCATTGGAATGCAGTCAAGTGGATCTTTAGATATCTAAGTGGGACTGCAGACTTGGGTATTATGTTCAGTCAAAACGAAGGTTCGAAGGAGCTAGCGGGATATGTTGATTCAGACTTTGCTAGTGACCTAGACAGGAGGAGGTCTACTACAGGACATGTCTTCACATTAGCTGGTGGACCTATCTCATGGAGGGCGATGCTATAGTCCACAATTGCATTGTCTACTACAGAGGCAGAGTACATGGCAGTTACAGAAGCTGCTAAGGAAGGGCTCTGGTTGACTGGGTTGGTTCGTGAGTTGGGTTTAGAGCAAGGAGGTGCGGTATTACATTGTGACAGTCAGAGTGCCATATATCTCGCCAAGAATCAAGTGTTTCATGCAAGAACAAAGCATATAGATGTGAAGTTTCACAAAGTCAGGGAGCTTGTGTCAGATGGCAGCATTCACTTGAGGAAGATTCACACGAATAGCAATCATGCAGATTGTTTTACCAAGCCAGTCACTATTGAGAAGTTTGGGTCCTGTTTGGGCTCAATTAATATAACTCGCTATTGAAGGTGAGGGACGCACTCAATGAGTGCGGGAGTGTACCTCTTATGGAGGTACGGGGATGAAGACATCTATATTTCATATTCTTTCACAGGTGGCTTTACATAATCCAAGCCAAGGTGGAGATTGTTGAGGTTGATGTCTTGTATTCTGTCATAGAAGGATTTATATGGAAAAGCTAAATAGTTTAGGCTATGTGGACAATTTTGTAATTTGTGCCATGTAGGGTTTCGCTATATATGTTTAGGGCGAAACAGGTCTCTAGAAAGAGAGGGAGGGAGTGAGAAAGAGCAGCTGTACACTTTTCTACGTTATTAGTGAAACAGATCTCATCTCCCCGTGGACGTAGGTAGGCAGAACATCTCCCCTACTGAACCACGTAAATTCTTGTGTGGTGCAAATTTCCATTACTTTCTTGCATCGTTGATAGGATTGAATTTAGATATTCGACAGGTGGAGCATAGCTAATTGTCCCTCTAAGACCCATTAAGCTCATTTGGTTAGCTACAGTATCAAGGGATGATCCAAGAAGGAATTTTGCTAATCCAAAGTCGCCAACATGTGCGACCATCTCAGCATCTAAGAGGATGTTGCTAGGCTTTAGATCACAATGAACGATGGGAACACGGCACTGATGATGAAGATAATTCAGTGCAGTAGCAATACCAATAGCTATATTTATCCTCCGAATGAAGTTCAACTTTTTCGGAAGTTCATTCCCATGAGATGATGTTGCATTTGGGTGTAGCCACCGTTCTAGGCATGCATTGTCCATGAATTCATAGAATAAGGCCTTAAAATCATTTCCTTGATAATCATTACTTGAGCAAACTGTTAATATCTTCAAAAGATTTCGATGTTTGATGTCCCTTGATGCCTCGCACTCGACTATGAAACTCTTCAAAGCACTTTCACAGACTAAATGAAGCACCTTTATAGCAACAACGGTTTCATTTTCCTCGAGGATCCCCCTATAAATGGAACCAAAGCTTCCAATACCGATCAAATTTGCTGAAGGAAAACCGTCAATTGCTTTTAAGAGTGTTCCATAAGAAACGTTCGGACATGAATCATCCTTCAAACTTGAAACTGGTTCATCTACTTTTTTCTTCAACCAACAGAGATATATAAAAGCTAGAATAAGAGCTATTCCAAGAACTCCAAAAATAACAGAAGTGGACAATATCATTACATCGATCTTTCTGCTAGTAGAGCTTTTGGAGATGTAATAGGGGAGGTAAAATTCTGACAATCCACCGCAAAGTTCATTGTTCCCAATTATAAAAGTAGCGGTAGCATTCTTAAAGACTCCTTCGCATGGTAGCATGCCTTCAAACTTATTGTATGATAAATTTAGAAGTATCGAGAAACAAAATACCGCTAAGAATGTTGGAATCTAACCTAACAAATTGTTGCGTGAAAAATCTAGTTCTTCAATGGCTCCTAACCATCCGATTGATTGAGGAACGGACCCGTGGAAGGAGTTGGCCCCCATACTCAGTGATGTCAATTCAATACAATCACCTAAACTTCTTGGGATTTCGCCTCCCAACAAATTGTCCGAGATGTCCAACGCGGTCAACATTCTCAACTTGCCAACTTCTATAGGTAGAATTCCAGTCAGATGGTTACGAGACAAGTCTAGAGAGGTTGTTAGTGATGAGAGACCTAAAAATTGTGGGGTATGGCACCACTAAGATTGTTATTGGACAGATCAAGCAGATTAAGAGACCAGCAGTTTGATAGATGTGACGGAATTCGCCCACCAAAGTAGTTTCCACCAAGATATAGTTGAATCAACTTGGTTAGATTTCCCAAAGAAGATGGGATAGTTCCTCCTAGGTTGTTATCACCTAAGTACATTATTGCTAGATTTTGTAAATTCCCCAAATTTGAGGGGATAGCACCTGAAAGTTGGTTGGAACCCATAGCTAATAATTCCAAGTTGACAAAATTCTCAATTTCTTTTGGGATCTCCCCCGATATTTGATTCTGGGCTACATTAAATTTTGTGAGAGTGGTGGATAAATTACCTGTACATTTAGGTAACACCCCACCAAACTCGTTCCAGTTAATACCCACTTCCTGTAATTTTGTGTTGTTAGTTAACGAGCAAAGAAAGCTCAAGTCTTCAGGTTTTCCACTTCCAAGCTGATTATCATAGATTAGAAGCCAACTAAGCTTATACAAATTTTCCAAAGAAGGTACTTTGCCGGAAAGTCTGTTAACTACAAGTAGAAGCTTATTTAGGTTCGTGCAATTCGATACTGAGGGAGGAATTGACCCCTCAAGTTGGTTCCCAAGAACAGAAGAAAATTCAAGATGTGGGAGTTTGAGGCCTACGTCTGGGAGAAGAGTCCTATGTATCTGGTTGTTTGAAGCATCAAACCCAGTTAGCAAAGAGAGATTGAATAACAAAAATGGAATTGTACCTGACAATCTATTTGCTCCAACGCCAATGACTTGCAAGTTTGTCAGGTGGCCTAGAACTTGGGGAATGCTCCCGCGCAAGTTGTTCAGGGTGAGAAAAAGGATCTCCAGTGAAGATAAGTTCCCATTGGAGGAAGGTACACTCCCAGTGAGATTATTTCTATACAAAGAAAAACACCGTAGCTATGATAATGAACCAACTTCTCTAGGAATTTGTCCAGTTAGTTTGGTTGTATCCAAGGAAGAGGCCAACAAGGTTAGAGCAACCTGATATGTTTTTGGGTATTTTGCCAACCAAAGAATTGTTGTTTAGTAGTAGGATACGCAAGCGGTGCAACTGGCCAAGTTGTGGAGGGATTTTATGATCGAGACTGTTGTTTTGGAGCCACATTTCCCTTAGGAAGCTGAGATTCCCAATATGAGGAGAGATTGATCCGAAGAGTCCTTGTGATTGCAAGTCTAGGACAGTGAGCCTCCAGTGCTTCCGGCCGCACGTAACGCCATGCCACTAGCAAAACCCAATGCTATTGTTTCATGAGCTGAGCATGCCGAAAGGATCTCTGATTATGCTGGCTTTAAATGCAAGCAGCGTGAGTCTGTCCGTTTCATTGGTGGTGGAGGAGACTTGGTAAAAGCGAAGTGCAAGAGCAATACCAAGAAGCAAGTGGCGTGATTGAAACTCCGCAAAACTAATGCTTAAGAGTTTCATGACTGAAACCACGAGGAAGAGGGTAGATATGAGAGCAAGACAAGAAGAAACAAAAGGCAGGGTCAGTGCAAATGGAAACTGTCGAGAGATTTATCGAAAGGTGTCGATTTTTCAGGACATTTTGAAGGGCTCTTCTTCTTCTTTTTCTTTTTTCTTTTTTTCCTGAAAACATCGTTCAGTGCCTAAGTAGTAAAATAAAGAGATGGTTGAAGCAAATGATGTTAGCTCAGTAGTCATTGAACAGCGAAGCCGGCCAATCCCATCTTCTACCATTGACTCTGCCTCTGGGAAAGACATTTGTCTGGCCATACATGCATGAGAGCTAGTCTGATGTCGATATACAGCAAAAAGAATCCCTCATAGTCCATAGATGCATGACATAACCACGAGCCGCCCGGAAGCACTCTCAATGGTATGTCTAAATTTTTCGTTCTAAAATGCCACTAGTGGCACTATTCCTCCTTTTCTTTTTAGCCAAAAATTCTTTGGTCATACTAAATTAGTTAGCTACTCACCTTAAAAATCTAGACATACCTCATTCATGCTGCCTTTAGGAAAATGTAGCCATTATAGTCAATGAATTTTGTCCATTTAATACTTTTGAACTTTAGTTGGTTTCCATATAATTGTTTGGAATGAGAAATTGTCGTCATATTCGGTGGATTTTGGTTATTACAGCGTTGTTTCACGTAAATGTTTGTAACAAAAAGGGAATTCCCTTCGGGCATTGCATTCATATAATTTTCTCTCTCTGGTGCAGAAGTTGTTCCTAGTGGCTTTAATCCTCAACCATTAATATCAATGGGTTATGGATTATGCACATAATGATGCAGTGACAAACTTGATTTGGTTGTAAACTATAGTTATGTTGTCCACAGTATTCTATGAAAGAGGACTTTACTCGAAAGACACTAACCGTGAAAAGACACTGCTCCATAGCATCACCACCATCATATCCAAATATGAAGATGGAAACTCAATTAGATGCTAAAGCAAGAAATACGTCTGTCTCTGTTGTCCATAGAGGCAATTATATTCCACTTCCAGAATCTCCATTAAGATCAACATCAACTTGTTCTTTTCCACATTGCTCTTCGCTGGACTTCGCCCATTTACCCATTAATTTGGAAAAGATAGGTAGCATGTGAAAGTCAATATGAGTCGATGGAAATCTACAAAATTATGGCATTATAAACTGTGTAATCCTTCATTAATAGTTATGTTTTTCACTTGTTGAAATGAGTGTATCTCAATTACATTTACAAAAGAGAAATACTTAAAAGAAGAAGATACATACCTCAACCCTTCGTCACTTTCATCATAATCCATGGAAAAGGTAGCAAAAATTCAGTTATCTAGAAATACTAAAAAATAACAAAGATACATTGTAAATCATTATCAGATATGTAAGGAAAAAACTTTATATGTATATTGCAAACTTTTTTAGCCAATACATAAGAAATAGGAAAGCATGCTTCTTTATCTTCAATATTAAAAGATTCCAGATGATAATTATTCAACATATTCAATAAATTGTATTGACCTCTTTGTATATTACATGAACCAATGCTAAATATATATTAGAGGAATCACCAATGCTAAATAAGTAATTAAGCTTTTTTATTTAATTAATGTAAGGGGTGTGGAAGGGAATGCAACTCTGTGATAATGTGGATCAACTACAAAGTTCCATACTACCCAACTTTCTTATTATAATTATTTGTAGATGGTTAATGAATTGCTGATGCTTTCAATTGCTGGAGTAGATCTGACCTTATCGATGTTCCAGGCTATTCTTGGATATGCCCCAACGAACATCTGAAAAAGCGAATCGGTTCAGGATGCTATGGACTTATTTCTCCAAGGAACTGAAATGTACACACAAGGATACATATGGATATGTAAAAACCTATAAACAGTCTATTAAAAATGAATTTTTCTTGACTAGTTTTGAGAATGAAACTACAAAGGTCCTGTCACCTTGTGATTTATGCAGCAACGTATGAAGGCAGTTCCACATCTCCAGATCAATATCTAAAACCTAGGATTGACAGTTCTAGTGGTCCGCTGACTTTTTTAGGGTTCTGTTATCTTGATTCAGGAACGCGGAAATTTCCTTTCATTTCCGGTAAACATATTTCACCCCAGCGGTCCCGGAATGTAACATACTTTGGACTTCTGTTTGTCTAGGAAAGTCACTGCTGATCAAAGACAACTTTTGATTATAATCTTTGTGCAGCACCCCGATCAAAGTTTGCTTCTATTTCCTTCCCTGTTTTTTTCTTCCTCTACTGATTTCGGCTTGGGTTTATTCTGCAAGTATCTCTTGATCAACAATGCTCAAGATGCCTTTTACGGGTAGATTTTCTTGTGAATAGTTTGACGTTATTTAGTGACACTTAGATGCAAATTAGAATGAAACTGCACGAGATAAACATGACTACGAGTATTTTCTTATGGACAGTCACGGTTGCTCGGAGTTAAGGTTCTCCATCAGTAGAAAAGTGGCCATCGCCGAGGCGCCAGCCCTTCCATGAAGATGAATAGAGGAAAAAAAAAAGAAAAGAAAAAAATAAAAAAGGAAAAATCAAAATATCTATAAAAATTCAATAAATTTTTAAAAAATTGCAAAAATTGTCCATGTTGACGTCACATGTGCTACATAGGACAGTCGGCGGTCACGTCAGCGATTTCCAACCAAAATTGGTTGAAATGACTATATTGGCAAATCATCAAAAGATTTAGACCTAAATTGGCCAAATTGAAAAGTTTAAGACTGAATTGGCCGCCGTATTATTTGTGTAGTACTTTTTGAACAATTTTCCCACAGTGGGCATATACCTTGTCGCATTGAGTTTCCTTCTTGATGTCTAACCACTTGGTATTCGATAAATGTTGTTCTTGCAAGGCTAATTTTGGAGATCAAAAAGTGATACAAATGACACTTTTTTTCTTATATATACGGGTTAATACCACGAAAAATCTCATACTGATACACTTGTGACAATTTTACCCCAAACTAATTTTTTGACCACCAAAAACCCTAACTGGTATACCCGTGACAAATTTACCCTCAGTTTATTTCCGTTAAATTTTACAGTCAAATGTTTTGTTAAATGACACGCGGTAGTTGACTGATATGCCAATTTTATGTCTTACCCTCTGTTTATCACAGATGCACCAGTTTTTGATTTTTTATGGTATTAATCCAATTTAACGGAAATTAACGAAGGGTAAATTTGTCACAAATGTACCAGTTTGGGGTTTTTAGTGGTCAAAATATTAGTTTGAGGTAAATTTGTCACAGCTGTACCAGTTTGGGATTTTTTTTGGTCAAAAAATTAGTTTTTGGTAAAATTGTCACAGGTGTACCGGTTTGGAGTTTTTTGTGATATTAACCCTATATTTAAAGCTAATTATCATAGTTATCACTCAATAACCCATCCTAAACATATTGATATCATTGTTTGTCTAGATCTTTTGTTATTCATATACATTTAAAAAATAGTTGTGATGTGTCTTGAATTACCCAAGAAGAAAAAAAATACTCTAAGTGTCCATTATCACAAGTAAACCTGTCAAAATGGATTATGAACCCATTTCTTAACCCATATATCAGTAAATGGGCCATAAATAGGTTAGTTATATTTAGTAAATTAGTCATAAATGGATATAAGCATAATATGAGTGTTAAATGGGTCGTAAATTGGTCATAGATGGGTTTACAACTTATTTAAATTCAACTCATCTCTCTCGCCCTTGCTCAATCTCGCGTTCACTCACTCCGCACTCTCATCTTGGTTTGGATATGAATTTTTCTAGATTTAGTTAATTATGAAAGTATTTTAGCAATATGGGTCGGGTCGGGTATGGGTTGGGACGGGTATGGGTCATTAGATTTACATTACATGGAAATGGATCAAAACGGGTTAATTGGGTTTATTTAGGTCAGACCATTTTCAACCCAACCCATCCATTTGACAAGTCTAATCACAAGTTAAAGCAAGATAGTTTACAATCATTATCATCTAAAGCTCTTCGAACCAGGCAAAATAAAATTACATCTTCAAAAATACGCTTAAAGACATTCTCAGTGTACATGAAAGATGTGCAGAAATGCATAATCAAAACACCTGGTTGAAAGGCTTCACTGACATAAATTCGTTGAAGCGTTCTTCTGACGAAAGCTTAAAACTAATGGAGAAACTATTACAATATCTGGTTCCCAAGTTGCCTCGGGAAGTTTATGTCGCTCCTCTTCCGATGATCAAATAATGCTAACAGCTTCTCCTTCAAAGTCTCACACTCCATCTCCGAGCTTCTCTCAACCTTCACATATCAAATACATCTATACAATTATAGCATGTCGTGGAGAATTCTGTAAGTTTAAATCTAATCAAAGAAAATAACGGGTCATTAACGAAGGTAAAGTACCTGAACGTGTAGATTGTAGAAGGTTGTTCTTGTTCCTCCGCATGACTCGAAGGTGGAAGAGCTTACTAGAGGGAAGCCATGATAATCCAAGGTAAGCAAGACCTCAGAGAAATCGATAGTCTTATGAGTCGAGACCTTTCTGGTGCATATCTGAATTACAACCTCGCTCTCACTCAAACGAGTCGTGGAGATAGATGGCACCAAATTTTGAAGCGAGCCTTTTCCGTTGCTAATCTCTTGGTGATTAGTGCAATAATCTCCATCTCGGGTAGCATTAATTCTTGATAGCAGCTTTTCCTTCTCTTGAGTGAGTTTCTCCACTTGCTGTTGTAGTTCTGGTATGTATTTCAGCGCTTGGGACACCGTCGTCGGGATACTTAACTTTTTCTGAAAGAAAAGGAATGAGATCAAACTCTGTTAAAACCTAAATTTTGCGGTGTTTTTCTTTAGTTTCTCTAGTACCTAAATGTTGAGATAAATTGAGTGTGCACTGACTTGAGGTTGAAGCAGCTAGTGATAAAAAATGGAAAAATGACACTAGAAGCGTCATAAATTGCGTACCGTACTCACTTCGGTATCAAAATTTTTCGAGCTATTGCTCTAGTCTCACATCTGTGGAAAAACGATCCCTCAAGAATCTCCGGCGATAAATTACAGTAATTCATCTCACGTGGCTTTTTTATAATATTTTAGTGTCCACGTGGCTATTTCATTAAAAAGAAAGTCCGACGTGGACGATGACCTGAACCTTAAAACTCTTTCTTTTTAAACCCAGCACAGATCAATCTGAGAGAGAGAAATTGCTTGTTTTAAAGCTCAGGAAGTCACGATTTATCTCCAATGGTGACCAAACCACACCAAATCAACCACAGAAACGGTTTCTGCAACTCCAACTCCACCTTCTACAAGCGCAAGCCCATTGCAAGTTTCAATTCCGGTGAAACAAAATCACACAAATGAAGTAGCAGACCTCCATTGCAAGTTTCAGTACTAATTTTGCCCCATATCCTCGGTTGTGAGGTTAGGATTTGAGGAAGAGGCTGAAATTTTCTCCAAATCAACGATTGTGAGGTTGGGGTTAGAAGATGAGGCTGAATTTGGGGCAATCATGTGCGAGCCAACGTTGTTTAGGTCAATTCATACTAACTCACTATGCCGGCCAGCCACATCGGTCGCAAAAAATATTAGAATATTGCCAAATCTGATTTCCGAAGTCCCAAATTAGCGATAGCATTTAAGTGATCATGTTTTATCAAAGTGACACCGAAGTAATCACTCGAAAAGTTTTAGTACTAAAGTAAACGTTGTACGAAAATTACAACATTTAAAGTATCATTTTCACACTAAAAACATAATGAAGTTGAACATTAGGCTGGTGTTAGGTCAAAGAATCCGTTTGAAGCCATAAAAGATCCGAATTGTCAGGAAAGAAGATCGAGAGATGAATTTATACCCAAGAAAATAAAGGATTTAGAGAAAAATTACAGAAACTAGGGTTATATATGATTGCACAATGTCCAGTAGCTACTAATTTTGATTATTCTCTCCATCACTCTTGTTAATTTTGGCAAAGTGTATCCAAGGAAAGGAAATAAAACAAAAGCTTCTAACAACTCCCTCATAGACATAGGACTAACGGCACTAGTATAATTACCATTTGATCAGCAGCCGGGATCAGCGAACGGAGCGTGGAGTACAGACCATTCATCTTCTTCCGCCGATCACGCTCGCTGGCGTTGTGGTTCAACTTCTTGACCGTCGTTGCTTCACCCTTCGCCACTGCAAACGGGATATCGAAAGGATTGAACGCTAGCTCCGCCTGAGGAGACGGTGTAGCTGGTGATAAGAAGGGGAAATGGAGAAGAGGTGGTGAATAGCAAGTGTAGGCATCTCTGTGCATGTAGCTCTTTTGTTCATGGCTTGCGGAATCCTCTAAAGGCCAACCACCGGGAGAAAAAGACAACATCGGTATGAATTACTCCTTTTTGAGGTTCTTGAAAACTTTAGTTCGATAAGAAGGTGAGATGACCATGACTTGTTTATATATAAACTTCCATTAACGACCTCAGCTAAGGATTAATCGCATAATATATTGGAAAAAGATGACTAATTTCTTTATTTTCTCGGGAATAATAATAGGGTTGATCAAGTCCCATGACATCAACAAGATGGGATTTTTATCTCTTTCGAATAAAATTTGATTATGGATGTATTATCTAAAACTTAACCTAGCGTGCATAGTTGTGTCCCAAGTGTGTGCATGGCTCGTGGGTTTGTGTGGCTAAGCATCCTCTGCTCACTTCTGTTGCGGTCCATACACGAGCAGACTCCTATATATTATTCTACTATTTGTACATGTGGAGCGACGAAAGGACCCATTTTTTCTCGATTCATTTGGTTAAAACACATGCCATATGAACTGTTAGAATATCTAAGTATTAAACCACTTCTCCGCTCATCAATTTAAACTTTTGAGTTCGACTTTCTTCATATGCTATTAGAGCCAGCTTATGCTATTTTAGCGTGTGTGTACACCTCCGTTATTTAAATTTCACGTGTCACTCCTAATCCGGCTTACACGTGAAAAAGGGTATTGAAAATGTCCTACGTTGCTTGACAATGAGGTTTATATAATCATTATATATATCCAATCTCTTTTTATTTATCAGTTTAAGTTTTTGAGTTAAACTTTTTAACATGAACCATAGATTAGCATAAGCATACCCATGTGTTGACTTTGTTTGTCAGCTTTCATTCCATTGATACGGTAAACTATCTCTCTCTCTCTCTCTCCTCCCCAACTTGAGGGATGTTTCTTTACTTATTTCCTATGTCTTGATTGAGTGCAATTAATGGTCTTTGTTTAGTGGCTCATTCGATTCAATTATGAGGATACCATCCTAATAGAATATGTATTATCCTCATGCACACGCTTCGATTGGTTTATAATAAGATATCTGACTCGGACTAAACCGATGGGGACGGTCATTTATTTAATGCCTGATTAGATGTAAATCGTGCATCATACATTTTCAGCTTTCCTTTTTTTCTTCTTTTGGTAAAAGAAAAGGAAAAAGAAAAACAGTGACTTGTGAAGTGCGCATGCCCTGCACACCAAAACACGAGCAGAAACAAGGTTATCACCACAATTCACGTGCTTGAATCGCCATAAGCTCCGAGGGATTATTTTATAAGTATCTACCTATTTCTATCTATGTATTTAAGTCAACATTGGATTTTTTTTCTCACTTAACTAAACATTCCAAGAATACCCTTATATTAAATAATGTAATGACTAAAAAAAGGACGTAATGAATACATATCCAATAATTTCTCACTACCCTCAATGGTCTTAATTCAGTTTAGTACCATATACTATGTTCATGGATATGACAAGTATTATTCATACCCACGACAGACAGGAGGCCAATTCAATCTTAAACCCTTCACTTATACCCCATGACAAGTATTATTCATACCCATGACGGACAGGAGGCTAATTCAGTCTTAAACCCTTCACTTATGCCATTTTAGTCCTAAATCTTTTGACGATTTGCCAATTAGTCATAAACTTTTCAATTGTATCAATTTAATCATAAACCATTTGAAAATTTGCCAATTTAGTCCTAAATATATTATTTGGATATTTGGTCGAAAGGACTACATTAACAAATCATCAAAAAATCTAGGACAAAATTGATACAATTGAAAAGTTTATGACTAAATTGACATAATTGAAAGGTTGCAGATTGAATTGGTCCCCATACAATAAATTTACTCTTTGAACAATTTTGGCCATCATGGACTAACTTTTACATACCGGGACTTCACAGAAATTGCAGTTTTAGTGTAACCATAAAACGAAAATTGCATTTGAGCGTAACCAAAAATGAAATTGCATTTGAGAAACTTACGTTCTCTTGGAGCCAACCACTGCTCACTCACGTGAAATTGTATTACCTTACAATGCCCCCAAACAGGGGAAGATTGAACTCCCTGAGCATCCAGATCTAGAGTTAATCCTCTATCCAATGAGTCAAAAAGAATAGGCACCGCAATTTCAGTGACAACCCTCGCGTATGCCTCGTCAACTAATTTAGAATGCTACATAATACAAGAAGAACAAAAAGGGATACAAAGAGAGACCACTGTGTCAGTTACCGGCGACCTCTTCTTCCTCTCCCGCGGTGTCCTCTCCCACGGTGTCCTCTGCCTCTGCCGGGAAAGCCTTGTTTATCCGACTTCAACCCTAGTGATTGAATTCCCCTCCTCTTTTCACGCCGGGGATCTCTGTCCTCCTCGTCTTCTACATACTTGGCTGAGCTTTTAGAAATAAAGGATATTTCTCTGGACCCTCCCGGTCCCAACTTGACATCCTTTGGAGCACCAGGAGTGCGCTGGCCGCGTTGGAGAGCCGCCACCCTCTCTCCCAAAGGAAGAGAATCCTCCTTTGCTAGTGACACGCGGTTGAAGAACGCCTCTGCATGACGCTCGTCCTTAACTTCGTATAATCTACAATTCGTCAACAGAAAATATTAGCCATAAAAAATAAAAAGCAAATCTCATGTATCCCCGACACTCAATCCAATGAGTCCACGCAGTTCACTTCCAGTGTTCTTTTTAGCCTGCGGGTGTTAAAACATACATGCATGCCACAGAAATCCATAGGAGAAGTCATTAATGAGACCCACACTGGGTAAAGAGGAAACATTGATTTCCCCCAATTTTCTGCAAGGTAATAGGCACTGTCCACCACACCATCCATAATTGGCTATGGAGAAAATTTACCTTGGAACATGAGACTTCGTTTTGCTTCTATCCTCATCAAAATCAGCCTCTTCCTCTGATGTCTGACACTCAGCAGAGGCATCAGAATAATCTGAACCATCATCATCCTCCATTCCAACAGGCTCAAAATGCTCCTCAACCAACGATGGTTGCTTCTTGGAAGACATTGGATGTAAGGAAATGTACTCTTGTGATTGTTCATCAATTTGATAGTCCTGTGGACAACAATCAAAAGTATATCGAATTTCAATAAGCACACAAATAAAATAACCAAACCATAAGTTTTGAAACCTAACATCCTAGGATTTTGCAAATTTAAGACGACAAGACTAAACCTAACCATTGGCAACTTCCAAAAATACATACATATATCCACACACTCGTTGAAATAAGTATAAGTGCATATGTACACTACTTATTCTCCTAAGAATAATGGGTTCATCATCAGCATCAGACCATGCAAAATATACTGAAGAAAGTTGGGTGCTAGAGTGGGGAAGTAAAGCAAGAGCTTCAGCACCAGCTAAACCCTTCAGCACAGTATGGCGTGTGAGGTTTCCTTTACCTTATTTTCAAACATAGCTGTAAATCTTTCATCTTTAAGAACTTCACTGTCGAGTCCTTTCTTCTTCTTTGATTTTTTCTTGGACTCATTGTCTTCACTTTCTTTATTCTCGTTTTCAGCTTCATCATTCTCAAGGAGACGAGCAGCAAGAACCCTGTTAACTTTAGGTAATTTTCTTTTAATCTGCAAGAAAAACAATAATCAATTAGTTAAATGATTACTACTCACAGGTAATGGCCGACTAGCAAGCATCTGCCCATGTCAAACCAATTACACTTAGAAAAGCTTCCAACAACTTCTGGAGCCAAATCTGCTGTGTCATTCCCATTTATGCAAAGCTAAGATGAGGCTAAATAGCTACAGAGATCATATGCAAACAAGTAAGGAAATCTTGCATTCACTAACCGTGATCCGAGAGGCACGTTCGGCTTCTAACTTCTCTTTCTTTCTCTGCTCTATATATGCATCATATGCAAAAGGATCTGCTAATGCCTTTGCCTGCAATTTCGAAATTATATTGAGAAAAAGAGTTGCGTTCATATTTTCTCTAAAAGATCTTTATCAATAATGATCAGCTCATTACTCAAAAGTCTAGATATACTCAATCACATGCAAGGAAACTTAAAAACTTGAAAAGCAGGGTTTTTTTTCCTCCCATAATCCATAACTGAAAGCAATACAGGCAGCAATATTACATGCATAAAGTAAAACATCCTGCAATCACGTAATTAGCAATAAAAAGGTGAACATCCCCTACATCAGATACAAGAACACTATTGTTTAACAATAATTAAAAAATGAACTTCTGAAATCAGCACAATCAATATTTCATTGCCTTTTTCCAACCTATTTCTCTGAATTATCAAAACCATCTAATTAATAATAAGGCTCAATTCTTCAGAATAATTTTTTTGTGCATATATAAACTCAATAGGGAGTAATTTTGGAAAAATTTCTGGGTAAACCCTACATGATTACGCATACACATAAGTGGACAAGTGCCTATATATGCATGTTCCCATGCAAACAGAGAGACGTTTAGTGGTGTCAAGCTAAAATGGCATGGGAAGCAGAACTTCACTCAAACAAATGTCGAGAACATTTTCCCCTTTATGCAAGATCAATGGTAAATGACCAAAACAAAAGTTGCAGCATAATAAAGCATTTTAGAGCATAAAATCAGAGGAGATGGACTCACTCTCTTGTAAAGACGGTGATCAATAAAGAACCCATGCATATAAGCTCTTAGAAGGTTTGTGCCGATCAAGTTTGTCAAATTCAACTTTTCAAGGTCCTCTTTTGTTACAAATTTGAAGTCGTCATATATAGTCGTTTGACCTCCCTCCTCAAGCTCCTCCTATAAAAGGAAAAACTTGAATGAAACTATAGTACTCACCAAGGATAGAATAGAGTAGAAGCAAATAACACTTTAGAACCAGACCGTCAAGCTTTCAAGATAAGCACACCACTTAGGGGCAGGTCCAAGAGCAGGTACGAAATAAGAGGGTATTTGGCTGCAATCCAAGGCCAGTAACATCAGTCCACTGTCCCTGAACACACATATGTCATTTATTGTTCCACCAGTCGGTTCAATGCTGGTCATGCCATCACCCTGACATCCAACAGAAACCGGTTTAAATTTGAACAAACTTGCAACAGGGAGTAGTATTGACAAAGAACAAATTCTGAAAATTCTTTCTACAACAGCGACAAGACTCAAAAATGTCAATTTTAAACAAAATGATCTAAAGACCCAGGTAAAAGTTAACA